ATTCTGACTGCCTGGGTTTGGCTCTCTACCACTTACTGGCCCTGGAGCTTTGGGTGAGATATTTAGCCTCTTGGTCACTCACTTTCCTCATCTGTCAAATGGGAACAATAAGAGTCCCCACTTCATGAGTCTGGTGTCAGAAGTCTATGAACCTTTAGCACAATGTCTGGCACAAAGTAAGCACTTAATACATGGTAGAAATAATTTGCTTAATTTTTAGGGCTTTTTTTTTTTTTTCCACTTTATGCAGCTCATGGGATTGTAGTTCCCTGACCAGGGATCAAGCCTTCAGCAGTTAAAGTGTGGAGTCTTAACCACTGGACTGCCAGGAAATTCCAAGAACTATTATTTCTTAAATGAGTGAATTATTACAGCTTGTTGTATTATGTTGAGCACTTACTGTCAGACATTTGTGCTTTATAAACATTACCTTATTTAATCTAGTAAACAACCCTTTAAAGTGTACCTTTTACAAGTGAGGAAACAGTTCTGAATGAGATGGAAGTATGATTCACTATCAGATACCTAATATCATTATTGCTATCTTGCAGCCAATATGATGATGAGGATATCCATTGTTACTAACATAGGAAGGTGTCTGTTACATGAGAAAAAGAGCAAACTACAAAATAATGTTAACAGTATGGTTCCATTCTGTTTATGGAAGAACATCACAAAAGTATTAAAAATGATCCCTGATTAGTGGCATTATGGGTGACTTTATTTTTAATCCTACTTTTATTTACTCTTTATCTTTAAAAAATTTATTGGGTTATAGTTTATTTACAGTGTTGTGTTAGTTTCAGGTATAATGGGTGACTTTAATTTTCTTTTTTTCCCCTTTTTGCTCTTTTCTGCTTTTCCTCCAGTGAGGCTATGAGCATGTATTATTTGTGTAATTAAAATCATGTTGTAAGGGTTTAAAATTTTTGCTGAAGAAGATCCCCCTATGGCATTTCCCTGGTGATCCAGTAGCTAAGACTCTGTGCTCCCAACGCAGGAGGCCTGGGTTCCACCTTTGATCAGAGAACTAGACCCTGCATGCTGCACCTAAAGGATTGAAGATCTAGTGTGCTACAGCTGAGACCCACCGCTGCCAAAAAAACAAACAAACCTCAGCTCTAATACAAACTATTTTAAAAAAAAATCAAGTCCCCCAGTGTTCAACTCAGCTTTCCTTTGCAGGCTGTTTAAAAGGGAGAAAAGAGAAACCCAAAAGTGCCCTCACCGCTTTCAATCCCAGCCCCTTTTTAGGGGGAAAGTGAAAGTAAAGTCGTGTCTGAATCTGTGACCCCATGGACTGTAGCCTACCAGGCTCCTCTGTCCATGGGATTTTCCAGGCAAGAATACTGGAGTGGATGGCCATTTAGGGGGAGGAGGCAGTTTACTCTTTGGACAGGGATGAGTATGGGTAGTAAGGCAGAACGGTACAATTCTTCATAACCCTGGAGGTGTGCGAATCTGGGTCTGAATTCCAGCTTCACCACGTGCTAACTGTGTGACCTAGATGAGTTACTAAGTTTCGGTTCTCCTTTAAGGAGGAGGTAGCTGCCACCTTGTAGAACTGCTATGAGGATTAAGAAAGACAAGGCCTGAACCAGCACTCCTTGCCCAACCACTGGTAGCTATTACTACAAGAGCTGAGATAAAAATGACTCATTTTGGTCAGAATACAGTGCATGACCTCATCACACAGAACTGACAGAGGGCAACTGCTGGGAGGGGCGGGGCAGGGGAGCATCTGGGGTGAATGTTCTCCACACAGGCCCGTCACACTGGCTTCTGTCTGCAGGAGCGGCTAAGGAACCAGCTTCTTAAGAAGGGATCAGGCTTGCCAGTGGCCTGCCATTTGTTTTGGGCAAGAACCAAAAACAAGCTTGTGACGTTTAGCTCTAAAACCTAACTACACAGCTGCCACTTCTAAGCCCCACGGCAACAGCCTACTTCTCCCCAGGCTTCCCGGCTCCACTCCGCCCCCAAGCAGCGTGAGCTCAGCGTGTGAGCTCAGGTGAGCACCTCACTGAAGCACATCTGCGACTTGGCCCCTTCTGCAGCTGCATCACCTCCCCAGGAGAATCGATTTCTGCCGGAACCACCACAGCCCCCAACCCATCACCTAGCCCACTCTGGGTTTGTATCATAAGCCCTGATTGAGAAATCCTCTCCCATGAAAACACTGTAGTCTGCACTTGGTTAGGTAACCGAAAGAACTGGTTCAGAAATCATAAAAATGATACCAGCCACTTCCCTGGCAGTTCAGTGGTGAAGACTCTATGCTTCCACTGCAAAGGGCAATGGGTTTGATCCCTGGTTGTGGAAATAAGATCCAGCATGCCAAGCAGCTTAAACACACACACACACACACACACACACGCACACACACACAATTACCTTAAAGGTTTTTCATCAACATAAAACGCATCAGCAGCCAAAACACAGTAGCAACCTAAGTGTCCATTGACAGAGGAATGGAAAAAGATGTGGTACATATACACAATGGAATATTACTCAAAGAATGTAATAATGACATTTGGAGCAACATGTCCATGGATGGACCAGAGACTGTCATACTGAGTGAAGTCAGAGAACAAGAAATATCATATGATATCCCTTATATGCAGAATCTAAAAAGAAATGATACAAATGAACTTATTTACAAAACAGAAACAGACTCACAGATTTAAAGAATGAATCTGTGGTTACTAGGGGATAGTTGGAGAAGACTCTTGAGAGTCCCTTGGACTCCAAGGAGATCCAGCTAGTCCATCCTAAAGGAGATCAGTCCTGGGTGTTCACTGGAAGGACTGATGTTGAAGCTGAAACTGCAATACTTTGGCCATACGATGCGAAGAGCTGACTCATTGGAAAAGACTCTGATGCTGGGAAAGACTGAGGGCAGGAGAAGGGGACGACAGAAGATGAGATGGTTGGATGGCATCACCGACTCAACGGACATGGGTTTGGGTAAACTCCGGGAGTTGGTGATGGACAGGGAGGCCTGGCGTGCTGCGGTTCATGGGGTCACAAAGAGTCAGACACGACTGAGCGACTGAACTGAACTGAGGGGACAGTTAGGGTGTTTGGGATGACATGTACACACTGCTATATTTAAAATGGACAACCAACAAGGAATTACTACGTAGCACAGGGAACCCTGCTCAACACTGAGGCAGCCTGGATGGGAGGGGAGTCTGGGGGAGAATGGATACGTGTGTATGTATGGCAGAGTCCCTCTGCTGTGCACTGAAACTATCACAAGATTGTTAACTGGCCGTGTGTTAGTTGCTCAGTTGTGTCCGACTCTTCACAACCCCATGGACTGCAGCCCAAGAGGCTCCTTTGTCCTTGGGAATTCCCAGGCAAGAATACTGGAGTGGATTGCCATTTCCTTCTCCAGGGGATCTTCCCATTGCAGGGATCGAACCCAGGTCTCCGGCACTGCAGGCAGATTCTTTACCATCTGAGCCACCAGGGAAGCCCCAATATAAAATAAAAAGCTAAAAACAAAACAAACAAAAAAAAACATTGGGCTCATCTCTTGACTCTGAGCAAACCTTTTCATTGAACTTTGCATTTCCTCTGTTGGAGTTCTCCTTTATCTTCCCTTTGTAAACCATGTCCTTACATAAACCAATCCCAGGGTTCCAGGTTTCATTTTCTTTACCATGGAATAAGAATTTACACATTTTCAATGTGGATGCAGAATCCTCAAAGACTGTCCTCCCCCAACCCTTTTCAGTCACCTTCTTCACAATGAATTTGGTGGGGTTTTTTTGGCAGGGGGAGAGGGTAATTGCATGACCCCTGCAGTAGGAGCATGGAGTCCTAACACTGGACCCCCAGGGTATTCCCTGCGTTCAGCAGCATTTTGAGGAGGGGGTGGCCATTCACCTTAACCAGGCCTCTCCAAAGTATTCAGCTTAGTTTTCCTAGATCCTTCCATTTTTCGATCATATTTCACTGGTTAACTGAGGTCCTTAACCTCAAGGCACTGTTGCAGAAATTAAATCTGGTTAACGAAGTCACATCACGACAGCACAAGGCGCAGCGGCACGAACAGGTCTGGGAACACATCTCCGTGTGTGTGCACTCAGTCGTGTCTGCCTCTTTGCAGCCATGGACTAAAGCCCGCCAGGCTCCTCTGTCGGTGGAATTTTTCAGGCAAGAATACTGGAGTGAGTTGCCATTTCCTACTCCAGGGGATCTTCTCGGCCCAGGGATCGAACCTGCGTCTCTTGAGACCCCTGCACTGGCAGGCGGATTCTTCACCACTAGTGCCATCTGGGAAGCCCACGCCTCTGACAGCCGGTGGGCATGTACTCCTGATCACGAGCTTTGAGTATCACAATAATTCAGATATCACACAGAATGTTAGGAGAGAGAACACAGAGTGTCAGTGAAGACTTTCTCACAGACGGGTGCGCTCTCACATTCACCTCTGGTATGTTAACCCATGTCCGTGCAGAGAAGGCTCTGAAGCGCCGGGCAGCGGAAGGGCAAATGTCCATGGAAGTCCCTTTTTTACAGGTGGTGAGGGGTCTCCCTTACTTGATCTGGGAATACCTACGTGGAACAAGTACTGTTTTTGAAAATTTACCACGTATCACTCCCTGCATACATAAGCTTGTTCTGATCCAGTATAATTTATTTGCACAAACTATATTCTGCAATAGTGCCTTGAGGTTAAGGACCTGAACTGAGGCTGTGCAACTGGAAAGTAAGCAGATCAGGTTAACACAGCGCAGTAAATCAAGCTCAAATACCTCAATAAAATAAATTTTTCAAAAAAAGAAGAGGAAAGAAAGTAGCCGATTGCAGACCATTCTGTAGGGATTCAATAAAGGAAGGACTGAATCCAAGGGTTCCTGACTTTCTGATCATGCTCACAGATATTCCCCATATTTCCCAGCTTCTCTCCTTTAGGATGAAATTCCATTCTGACTACGATCCCAGCCTCCAGGCTACCCAACCATAAGCAAGTCAAAAGTAACACACAGCAATATTTCTGAAAATCAGCCTTTTAATCTATTTGAACCCAACGAGTGGGGAAAGAACTAAGACATTTTTCCCCCTTGAGATTTTGCTTATAAGAATGAGTCAGAGGTGTCTCTTCCATAGGAAACTGACATCCCCTATGTCCTCAAGGATCTTTTTTTAAAATGCATCAACGTGGGATTTCAATTCATGTGCATGCCACACACTTCCCCAGCCTGCCCTGCCCACTCTGTACAGGCACACATTCACACACCCAAGGGACTCCTTTTGTAACGGGGGAAGAGAATGCAAAAAAAAAAAAAAAAATCCATCTGAGTGGCCACAGATCCCAGAAATAACCAAATACAGTTTACACTTACATCCATCAACTCAAATGCAAAGGGAAGCTTCTCTAATTGGAATCTAGAGCCAAAAATCACAAAAGGCAGAGACTTGAACCATCCATAGAGATAATTTTAAAATGCCTTCTACTGGACACTCCCCTTAATTACAGAAGTATGCAAACAATCTTGATATACATGGAAAACAGTGGGCGGCTCTCTCACTGGGACAGAGGGGCATACCTAAAATTCCCTGGGTGGAATTTGTGCCTGGACCATAGCCCCTCCCTTTCAGGACTAAAGGGGAAGGAGAAGGGGGAGCAGTGGGGTGGGGACCCATGGGGACCCACCCAGGAGCCAGTGAGGAAACAGCGGAGCAGCCCCAGGAGCCAGGACTGAGCTGCTGGGTGGCCAGCCAATGGGGAGCTCGGTGGGGCAGGCGGGCCACAGCTGGGTTCAGAGAGGTCCAAGCACTGTGCGCCCTTGGGAGCCCAAGGTGGACGTGCTAAGATGGGAGATGGGCTGGTCCGCTTGGCTTCTCCCACCTAAGGCTTTGGGACCGCTGGCAGCCATCTGGGAGAGGCCAAGCCATGATTACTTTAGGGTCGCAGAAAATGATGCTTCCCATCTGGACATTGATGCACAAACCATGTCTAGTCCTCAAAGGATGACTTCCCAGTCACAGCCTGCCCCTCCACCAAGCCATGTTGGGCCACACAGCATGTGGGCTGAGGCACATTGGCAGGGGGTGCAGAGGAACGAGATGGAGAGAGGAAGGCGAAGTCGCCAAGCGCCCAGTGACCAGTGGGCAGACTTGAGTCTACGCAGGCTGCTGCCCTGCCACTGGGCATCTGCTTCTGGGGAGGAAAAGAAAGGCGTGGGAGAGAGGGCCTTGAGGCCTGGGCTCGAGGTCAGGCAGGAAGGGATGGAGCAGAGGCGAGGGCTCCATCTAGGGCGCCACGTTTCAGGGGCCTGCCCGGGAAGTACCGTACTTTGTTGAGGGAGCCAGGTGGCAGGTGCCTTTGGGCAGCCTGGTCCAGAATCTGGAGCCCAGGTCTGCAGGCTGCCTGCCCAGGAGAGAACCCAAGTGACCAGTGGGACCAAACAGTGGGCGCTGCGAGATTGTCAAAGCCTGGCTGCGAGCTGGTCAGCATGGATTCTGGGCTTTCCCCCCAACAGGGAGGGGACTGCAGCTCTTGAGTGCGTCCCCAAGCTGTCCTGGCCCTGTCTCTGGTCTTGGGGCTCCTCAGGGAAATAAAGGGGTGCCCCAACTTCAGGCAGTGTAATTTATCTAAAATTAAACTTGGGGAAAAGAGGTAGCGTCGAACCCAGGAGCCACCCCCTCCCTCCCCTCACCCCCACTTTGGGACACAGCCAGATCTTGAGCCAGACAGAGGGTAGGAGGAGACGGGGTGCTGGAGGCAGGGCTGCTGGTCTCCCGGGTCCTTGGCCGTGGGGCCGGGCAGGTCATCAATGCATCTTGCCCAGCTGGATCTTCTTCCAGGCTTCCGAGGCTGTGAAGATACACGAGTCCAGAATGCCAGCCACAGTGAAGGTCCCGCCAATGATGGCACAGATCTGAAAGTGGGGGGAATGGTCAGAGGTCAGTGGGAAAGGGAGCAACAGGCCAGACCTCCCTAAATCACAAGATGATGAGCTCAGCAAGTACTGACGCTCTGACCCATCATGACCACCCCATGGTAACCAGCGGAATGTGGAACACACCCAGGGCTCAAACAAAAACAATAATAGAAATAATCATTGGACTTCCCTGGCAGTCCAGTGGTTAAGAATCCGCCTTCCTTGCAATGCAGGGGGTTCGATCCCTGGTCAGGGAACTAGACCCCACATGCAGCAACTAAAACCCAGAGCAGCCAAATAAATAATTTAAAAAAACCCTGCTGTCATAAGGGGATGGTCATGAAAGTCCCCTGTATGTCTGTACTTCCTCAATTCACAACAAAGCAGATAGCACTCACACAACACCTTTCTGTGCCAGGCACGGCCTGAAATGCTGATGTGTTCCACCTCACTGCATCCCCAGACAACTCTAGGAAGGAAGCACTATTCTTACCACTACTGTGCAGCCATGGAAACCGAGGCACAGGGCCACTCAGTCACTCACCCAATGCCACAGCATTTAGTGGTTGAAAAGTAAAAGTCAAAGTGTTAGTCGCTTGGTCGTGTCCAACTCCTTTTGTAACAACCCCATGGACTGTAGCCTGCCAGGCTCCTCTGTCCATGGGATTCTCCAGGCAACAATACTGGAGTGGGCTGCCATGCCCTCTTCCAGGGGATCTCCCCGACCCAGGGCTTGAACCCCGGTCTCCTGCATTGCAGGCAGATTCTTTACCATCTGAGTCAAACTGGAGTTCAAAACTCTCAACATGGCCCTTGGCCGCTTCCCAGGCATGAAGAGCCCACCTCACCAAGTTACTCACTTTGCCCTGAACTTGACAGGACTCCTACTTTTGACACAGCAACATAATGCTGCATTCTCCTCAAATGTTCTGGTCTACCTGTGAGTGCTTTCTGGGGCTAGCAAAGAAACCCAAGTGCCTAAAAGATCGGTAAGGAAACTTTAAATGTACTTCTTCCCTAAAGACATACTTAGCTCAGTTCAGTTCAGTTCAGTCGCTCAGTCATGTCCGAGTCTTTGCGACCCCATGACTCGCAGCACAACAGGCCTCCCTGTCCATCACCAAGTCCCAGAGTTTACCCAAACCCATGTCCATCGAGTTGGTGATGCCATCTAGCCATCTCATCCTCTGTCGTCCCCTTCTCCTCCTGACCCCAATCCCTCCCAGCATCAGGGTCTTTTCCAATGAATCAACTCTTCGCATGAGGTGGCCAAGGTATTGGAGTTTCAGCTTCAACATCAGTCCTTCCAATGAACACCCAGGACTGATCTCCTTTAGGAAAGACATACTTAAATCATTCATAAAAAGCAGTGTTACCCACCATGCCATATGCCCTGGAGGGAGGCACCTCTTCGCTCATGTACCCATGGGGTCCAGAGAGGGAAAGAGTTTGTCCAAGGTCACACAGCAAGGGTACGGCAGCGCCGAGTCTGTCTGCCCCCCGAGCTCTCTCTTTTCCCCCTAGGCCACATTTAAGGAGCAGGGAAATGACCACAGGACTCAGAAGAAGCCGCGCTGGGCTGCCCTGCCGGCCCCTGACGCTGAGCACTGGCGGATTCTGGGAGACAGCAGCGCCTCCATGGGTCCTGCGGTGCCACGTGGATGAGGCCAGGAGACACAGCGGAGGCAAAAGGGAAGAGTGCATCGCACCAGCATTTATTTTTGAAATTATATTTCCACCAGATGAGCTAAGCGGAGGCCTGTGAGGCCCAGACAGACACAGTGGGTCTGTATGGATGGGCTGTAAGCAAGCAGCTGGCATCCAGTAATAACAGCCCCAGAAACCGGAGCAGCCCCCCAGGGAGAGAGGAGGATGGAAGCACTGGGGGGATTATTATGAAGTGTTTTCAGCGGGCAAGGCCTCTCCCCGCCCGCCTCAGAGAATGACGCAGGGCCCCTTTTCAAGGAAGATGACGGCAGGGAAGCTGGGTTATTTCGGTAGAGTGGATCAGATGATGGGCAATTTTATACCACAAAAAGCTTTTAGAGCTTGGATCAGAGGATAGGAAAATGTGACTTAAGTGCAATGGAGCAAATAATAAAAAAATAAAAACTAACCCCACACACATATCTATATTCATCTGCACGCTCTGGAGCCTGTGTGTGTGATGATTCACATACACCTGGCACCCAGACTGAGCTCCTTTCACGGGGCTGGCCCAGAGCGGGAGACAACATGTGCACTGAGGCACGGGAGAAGACGCAGAGCTGCGGGGAAACTGAGGCCCTGGGAGCTCGGCAGGCTCTGTGGGCATCCACGGACGCTGCAGCCCTGTGTCCCCACCACCCGGTGTCTATCCAGGTGCTGGTCACCAGCCAACTGAGGGGACGGTGGCATCTTCAAGGGGGCGGTCCTCAAGAGCTGAGAGAAATCTAGCAGCCTGCCTGATGTGGCCACGGCCCCCCGCTTTCCTAATTCTGCTTTGGCCTGCCCGAGCACCCCATCTCCTCACATCCACAGGGGGTGACTGGTGTGAGGTGAAGCAGGGGTCGTGAGGAGAGGGTCTTGAAGTGCTCCCAGGCTGAAGGGCTCCCTGGATTTCAACAGATGGTGGCCACAGAAACCCCCAGCACCAGGGGCCTGCCACGTCTGGACTCGTCCTAGAGGGTGGTCCGTCGTGTCCATGACTCTCATCCCAGGAGGTTTCTACGTCTGAAATGCAAATGCAGCTCTGAGGCTGCACCAGATGGTCTGTCTGCCTTCCAACTTGGGCCCTCCCTTGCTGGTGGCAAGATGACGGCTTCAGCAGACCTGGCTGATGGGGGGAAATGACCAACCACACATTAGCAGGCTGATCCAGCTCTCGAGATAAAGGCTTCATGGAAGGGAGGATGGTGACTTGGCATCTCCCTGACCCGGGAGCAGGGACAGGGCCCAAGATGAATACAAAGGAAAATGAAGCAAATCATGTCCACAAGACTTGATTCCCCTGCCTGCTGCTCTGCAGAGCCAGGAGAACCAGCCTCTGTTGAGTGTGGAGTCAGAGGCGTGAACCTCCTCACTGTACACGGCCAAGATGGGGAGATGAGGACTGAGGAGCCCGCGGCGGCCTTCCTGGTTACGGCAGTGGGAAGAGCTTGGCCTCGGGAAGCCAGGTGGTTCCGTGGCTGTCACATTTTAACTCTGGGCATGAGAGAGCCTTCCCAGGCCCGTTTTTTGGTCTGCAAAATGGGCAAACCATTCCTACTTTGCCAATGGTTGTATTGTAGGCAATGCCTCTGGAGTGCCTAGCACGTAATAGGTGCTCAGTAAATGGGACCTCATCTCACCTTCCAGTTGACTGGAAGGCTCCAATCTTGCTGCTATGATCTGAGATTTTTCTAAGCCTGAGACCCAGTCTAAGAAGAACAACATATAAAATACCACTCATTCCCCAGAGCAGGCCTTTGGGGCTAAATTTCCATTCTCTACCTGGTTCTTTAAGCAGAGGACAAGGCAATTTATGGAAGGACAGGGCAGTGAGGGTGTCCCAGGCACCGCAAGCAGGTTCTTTAGAGTCACTCTGGTCCCAAGCCCTCTGAAGGCCCAATCTACAGATGGAGTAGTTGAGGCCCAAACAGGTTTGCAAGAAGCGTACGTCATGAAGAACACGCATAGGGGCAAAGCACCGCAGAACACAGAGGCTGTTTCCAGGCTTGGCCAGGCAAGGAGTGCCTCTTAACTCCCCACGCCCTACCCCAACCCCACGGCTTAAAGCTCTCTGTCCTGAACACCCAGGCAGAGAAGACAGCAGGAGAGCCGGAGCTGCACAGGCTCAGGACATGTCCATGAGTGAAGGAGGGAGGGAGTGAGAAAGAGCAGAGAAGGCGTGAGGGGATGAATGAACAAATGTCCCTGGAGAGGAGGAGGAGGACCCCAGGCAGGGGACAAGAGGACTCACAGTTCGGGGCCTGGGCCAGGGGCTGGTGGGCCAGACTCAGGATGTTGGAGGCCGCCCCCATCGCTCCCTGAGCCTCAGTTTCCTACTTTTACAAACAGGACTGCTGTGGGCTCGCCCGTGTCACACACACACCCTTGACTGCCTGTTCCCTTGGCCTCCTGCATCTCCCACCTTGGAGGCCAGGGAGCAACCTCGGGGGTGGGGTGTGGAGGGGGGAGGGGGGCTGCTAAGCTGGGAGCGGCCACCCCGGCCGGCACATACGAGCCCGCTCCGGTCAGCAGGCCCAGCTCCAGAAACGGGGACGAGGGCAGTTCAGTACAGTGGCCCCAGTGGGTCTGGGAGACGCACGTTCCTTTGCTTCCATCAGAAGCCTTCCATAATGCCCCTCTGTTTTCAGGCTGACGCCTCCTCCCTGTGTCTCCCCCAGCTGCCCGCCCTTCCACTGTGGGGAGAATGAAGTCAGCTTGTCTACCTTGAGAAGAAGGGGTGTGTGTGTTCCCTTGACATTTTGCTCATGGCTTTTGATGCCTTATAATATGAAGAGGACACGTTCCAACCACACTGGCTGGCGGCCTGAATCCCTCTGTTGTTCCACCAGGCTCCAGAGTCAGCATTCCTGGAGGCAGCTCCCAGCTCTGCGACCCTGGCTGGGAAAGCCAGCGGACCTCCCAGAGCCTCAGTTTCTCTCATCTGTGAATGGGGTCTGCTAGGAGGCACTGCCCAGCTGCCTGAGGTTCCACTGGACGTGCCCGGGAACTGTTCATTCACTTTCCTCCTGCAGTCAGCACTGCTTGCAGGGCTCGGGGGAAAGGCACAGTCTGAGGAAATAAATAATGAATCAGAGTCCCATCAGATGCTGGCGGCGGCAGTCAGGCTGGAGCCTCAGATGAGAACACTGGGGCCGTGGCTGAGGCGGTGGGGGCTGTCGCGGAAGGGACGCTGATGACTGGAGCTGGGAGGGGTGGGCGTACAGTCGGGGAGGAGAGGGTCTGGCGATCTCCAGCCATGGGGCCACGCCTGCTGGACATCCCACCTGCACCCCTTATTCCCGGGGGCT